AGTTTCACTATGCAGTTGTAATACAAGCAATTAAGGTAATGTTAGAAGATTCAAAGTTAATTTCCGCTTCGAGGAAATGCGCATCTTCAGTATGCTGCCAGCGTGCTCATGATCAATTTAAAGATAAAAGCTGTTGATTTGATCTTGATAGCTACGTCTACTTGGTTAAAGAATGAGCACAGGCTACAGTCTTTCAAAATGAGGATGCACATTGAAGAGCTACTGGTCAGCACAAAATTTCACAGCATCAACGATGTCCACAAAGTATCGATTTAAAAGAACACTGTCCCCCTTTTCAAATCATTGCGCAAACGGCATCGATCTACGGATGAGAAACACAGTTACTGGCAGCATACCAGTATAACACGAACATAGGATTATCACGCGTTCTGCCCAGACAGTCATGATTACCCTGATAATGTAAGATCTGGGCCGTTCTCTTTGAATTGCCTTTTTTTTGTATGTACAGACGCATGTTCTTGTTTGCTGTTTCTGTTGTTGTTTTCTCTTTCCATGCTCTTTCTGTGTTTCTCACCCACACCAAAGAGTACAAAAGTGAAAGTAACTGGTTAATTCCAAAATGCTCGTCCGTTGTGCAAAATGAATTGCGATAGTATGGGGTCAATTTCGTTCGCTCTCGACAAACTACCGTTGTCAAAAAGCCAAAATCGGCGCAGATTTCCTGTCCCCGTTGCGAATGTGGTAGCGAAAATCGGACTTTCGGAATCTGCGGATGTATGTGTGGTTGCTAAAGGCGCTACGGTTGTTTTGGTGGTAACTGTGGTCGTTTTAGTTGTCGCGGCTATTTTTGTACTGACTGTAGTTGTTGCGGGGGTTGTGGATAATTCGGTGCTGGTAATCGTTGCTGTTGTTATAGGTATTCCAAATGTAGTTGTAGTCAATATGGTTGTTGCTGTGGGTGTTTCGGTGATAAGTACTGTTGCTACTGTTGTTGTAGGTGTTTTGCGAGTAGTTGTTGTCACTACGCTTGTTGCAGACGACGCAGTCGTAGCCACAGTCACAATCGTTGTGGGTATTGTAGCGGTAACCAGAGCAACTAAGTTTGTCACAGGTATTTCAGTAGTAGTCACAGTCGCTGCGGTTGCTGTAGGCAGTTGGGTAGTTGGTGTGCCACTGATTTTGCTAGTACTTCTAGCAGAGCTTGTGAAAGACGGCTCACCTCCCCACGATGCACCTGTTGATCCGGACACATCGCAACTTCCCGTATTACAGGTTGCTGAATCACTAGCTGAACCAGAGCAATCACCGCGTTGACAGTGTCTTGTGCGCCTCTTCGTACCGCCACCACAGGTTGCACTGCATGAACCCCAGCTTGACCAGCCGGACCACTGACCAGTTACCACTGTCGCTGCCGCACATGGTTCCTCGTTGCAGTTTTGCTGCTCTAAACTAGTTCCAAAACACGAGCCAGTGGTTGAGCACTTCCTGTAACAATTCAAAAGTAAGAAGACAAAATCCCTCCGTATTCACTCTCTACGAAAGACAGGCACTCGGAAAGTCGCGCAATGTGGCAGCAAATGCCAACAGCAACCGCCCACCAACAAAGCAGGCTCACGATGAGTCTCCTTGCCGTATTTCAGTACCAACCTACGATCGAAACGAATGAACGCCTAGTAGAGGGGCTGGTTGTATGCGTTTTTTAGATGCAATGCGAAAAACGCATATTGACGAGAGGTTGTCTGTGTGTGTGTTTGAAGCAAGCTGAATAGGGAGGGGAGTTTGACTTTTTGCCTATATTTTGTCACTAGTACTGGTTTTTACGCTTTTTTTGCAGCAATGCAATGCGAAAAACGCATATTGACGAGAGGTTGTGTGTGTTGTCTGTGTGTGTGTCTGCGTGTTCGTGTGTGCGTCTGTCACGGTCTTTCATCTCAAGACCTACAAAAGCTACGGGGCTGAAATTTTGGGGACTTAATCTACATGCACGTACGGGCCCCAATCCCCAAAATTGGCGCCATACCCGCGTGGTACCCGGGTACGGGCCCCCCAAAGTTTTTTTGAGGTCAGTTCATAACTTACCCCAATCCCTAAAATGGGCGCCAAAACCCGCGTAGTACCCGCGTACGGACCCCCCAAAGTTTTTTCGGGGTCAGCTCATAACTCGAGGATCTACATCCCCAAAATTGGCGCCAAAACCCGTGTGGTACCCGCGTACGGACCCCCCAAAGTTTTTTTGGGATCAGTTCATAACTCGAGGATCTAAGAAGCTAGAAGGCTGAAATCTTGGAGTAATGTTCCCCGCCCAAGCGGCTATTAGTGGGCTCAAACCCGGCCTGCTCGTACCCGCGTACGGGCCCCCCAAAATTTTTCCCGCGTAAATTCATAACTCGGGGATCTGAGAAGCTAAGAGGCTGAAATCTTGGGGCAATGTTCCCCGCCCAAGCGGCTATTAGTGGGCTCAAATCCAGCCCCCGAGTAAGCGTGACACCCGCGTACGGGTCCCCCAAAATTTTTCCCGCGCAAATTCATAACTCGGGGTTCTGAGAAGCTGGAAAACTGAAATTTTAGGGTAATGTTCCCCGTCCAAGCAGATGCTAATGAGCTGAAATCCAGCCCCCGGGTAAGCGTGGTACCTGCGTATGGGCCCTCCAAAATTTTTCCCGCGCAAATTCATAACTTGGGGATCTAAGAAGCAAGAAGGCTGAATCTTTAAGGGAATGTTCCCCGTCCAAGTAAGTCTTAACGAGCTCAAATCCAGACATCGAGCATACGTCGTACCCGCGTGCGGCCCGTGAAAATTTTTTCCAGTAAGTTGCTAACTTAGGAACCAGGAAAACTAGAAAGCTGAAATTTTATGCGAGTGTTTCCAACCAGCTCTGGCAGTCGATCTTAATTAGTTTAGCTTGAAGCATTTTTCGAAGAAACCGATTCCGATAGTGGCAAAAATTGCGGGGAACTCTGCAAAAAACGCATCTTCGCACGGGCAGCCCGTGCGTTGGCCAATTTTTCTATAACACAAAGATGCTAAAGTAAATATGGTGAACGCCACGCTTTTCTTTGGATAAATTTTGAGCTCGAATTTTTATAATTTTTCATCTAGCAGAGAAAAAGAAAATAAAAAACGCATCTTCGCACGGCTGCCCGTGCGAAGATGCGTTTTTTGCGTAGCTCCCCGCAGATTTTTGTCGCTAACGGCACTGG